ATTTTTTTTTTAATTTTTTTATCGAGGTCTTTTTTTTCTTGTGGATTTATCTGAATTTATTATGGTTTGCTGAATGTGAGTCTTGTGTATGCCTGTTTCAGACCAGACATAGCCACTAGTTATGAATATACTTTGCAAATGCTTCCTAGTTATTGTTCGCATATTAAATCTTGGATTCTGTGTTTGCAGCGGCTCTGGAATTTCAATACTGGAAAATTTCTGAAAACTTACACGGGCCATGCTAATTCTAAGTATTGCATAGCCTCAACATTTTCTCTGACAAATGGCAAGTACATCGTAAGTGGTTCCGAGGATAATTGTCTATACTTATGGGAGCTTCAGTCCCGTAAAATAGTTCAAAAGCTGGAAGGTCACACAGATACAGTTATATCAGTATCATGTCACCCGACTAAGAATATGATTGCATCGGCTGCTCTTGGAAATGACAAGACGGTGAAGATTTGGACTCAGGAAGAGGACTGACCTGTTTTCAGCGAAATATAATTCTGTAGCATAATTGCATGTGTTCCTAGCTGTCATTTCCAGCGACCACAAAGGTAATCTTATGGTGCTAACAGAGTCACTCTTGTTCACAGATCTAAGCAATTTTAGTGTATTTTTTGGTGACTCGCCTGTGAAGAAAATTTTATAATAACTTATTCGTGCACGGTTGATTTTACACCCGTTATTTTGTGATTTTGCCTAGTCGATAGTCTTGCATCTGATGGAGAAATTAATATCTAAATATGAGCCAGATTCTCTTATCTCTGAATCGTATGGCAATAACAAAAGGTGGTGTGAAAATGATAAAATGATACAAAGTTGGTGCAGTTTCCGTCACATAGCAGTCAAAAGACAAAATGTCGTGGGCTTAAAATTGAATATGTTCACAGAAAAATATTTGGAGGATGACAGTTTGTTGTTATACATACTGCCCATTCTCTGGGGCCCTACAAAATGTTTCTTTGAAAAATATTTGGAAGATGACTGTTTGTTGTTATACATGCTGCCTATTCTCTGTGACCCTACAGTGTCTCTTTATTAATGAAATTCATCATTTTGTCATCAACTCTGTTTATGCAGAACCACTTAAATTTGCATGTTTGACTTCTATCTTTTGTTTATTATATTATTTTGTTGGTGGAATAAAATACTAGAGACAAGTAAAGCTAGAAGTTCATGTCGAGATTAATAAATGGCTAGATGTTTGGCAGCCAGAGTTCAAATTCTACATAAATTTTGAGAAAACAAAAAATTTCGAAATTTGCAAGAAAATTGTAACTGTGTAGATATCGAAAAGGTCAAAATAAAAATGAAAAAAAATAAAAGCAAATAGTCTATAAAATCTAAGGTTCATTTGTGTATAAAAATGAGAAAATCAGACCATCCACTTTGGTAACTTCATAAATTTAATTCTTATTTATTTGTATTTCATACTTACTGACTCTTTTCATTAATTATAAATTACACACTGACCAATCACCACCGGCACCATTACAATCACCCAACGCCAAGCACTACCATGACCTCCATGCATAACCAGTACTGTCTCCTATCATCACCACCACCTTCATTCACCACATACCATTGTCGACAGTGGAGCAATTTTGGGCCTGAGAGCGTTTGACGAGCTTTAGCCTGATCTTTCTTCTTGTGATTTTTAGACTTGTGGGGGGAGGATTGGTTTCTGCCATCGTTGTGGTGTGTGTGAGGGGTGGTGGTTATGTTGAAGGTGACGGTAGACAATGATAATGGTGCTAATTATGGTGGTGGAGGTGGTCTTGATAGCGGTAGGTGTAAAATGGTATAGTACAAGAGGTTGTGAAGGCGATGATGATGATGATGATGATGGAAATAGACGACAAAATGTATGTAACACGCTCTATTACAAGTGATGACAATGGAAATGCATTGCAAAAAATGTAAAAATAGTACCACACAAGGTGTTATAAATGTATTATAAAAAATAAAAAAGAAAACAATATTTAGTGTATTTGTGAATTCTTCCTACAGCAATTTCATCCTAATTTTAAAGCCTATAAAATAGATTTAAAATAAAAGAAAAAAGATGGTTACAAGATTTCAATGTAAGTAATAATATAACATTATGCCCAAAAAAATCGTAAGTGCTAGAAAATTCACAAATTCAAGAGAAACTTGTTCATGAGAAAATTAAAATCTTCTTTAAATCAAATTTAAGTTCAAGTCCTAAAAATCCAAGAAAATCAAGTTCTTATCTAAATTAAAGCCAAGATCAAGTCAAGTCAAGCCAATATCAATCCCATGAAGCATAAATATTTAGTATAACTTTTTAATTATCTAATTCTAATAGAACATAAACACACAATGGAGATGAGATGTGATGTGATGTGATGTTATTAACAAAATGTAGCTAATCTAATTACCTAACTAATCTATGTATCTCACTGGTAAGAAGCGTTCATGAAACTCGATTATTTGACAAACATCCCTACATTCTTCCATCTATATATGTTCTTGTGATTAATTAATCTTAATGTGTTCGTATTTGAGATAGAAAAATAACTGGGTGGTCTGGATCACACGTGAAGATAAATCTAATGCTACTCGGGATATATATAATAAGCCCTTGATTGATAGAAATTGTAATCCAGATTTTTTTCGAAGTCAAAGTCACTAACTAATTTTGAACACATATTTAATTGGTCCCGCAACTTTTCAACACATATTTTATCATTTTTTATCAAAATTTGTTAAAAATCTGATTTTCGTCTCCACCAAATGGAGACACATTAGAGAAGATAGAAACATAATCTAGCTTGTTTTTCCCATTCAAATGTCTCTGTTATTTTGTTCCTTCACATCGAAAGTATTACTAAGAACAATCATGTTAATTGCCATTCATTTTGGCATCATTTTTGGCATTGTGCCACGTGATGACACATGATTGGACAATTAAAATAAAAAAAATTCCTGTCCAACACTTTTTGAAATCCGATGGAATGTATACTCAGATGTCAACCATGGAATGTATAGCATTATTCTACAAAGAATTCAAAACTTATCTGCAAATTCCATTTCCTTATCTGCAAATTCCTTTATCGGTTGAACCTCCTTC